TTAATCAATGTGTAGTGTTAGCGTAATTTTTTTTTTATATAGAAGAGGGGGCAAACGAGCATGCGGCTCACCTGATGTTAAGTGACTACCGCCGCCCATGATTAACCGCAACACCAGGGGAAGCAGGTGCAGGTGCTTTGCCGGCCCTTTAGAAAGGAGTAAGCTCTTTACTTGAAGGACCCCAGGTCGTATCGGTCCGGAAAAATCGCCGGTGGTAAACTATTCAACAGAGAGGTTGTGCGCGGAAGAAAACTCCTCTTGAAACGTACAGTGGTGGACCGCCAAGCATCCAGATGGTGTGGATGGTATCGGAACGTTTGCCGCGTAGTGCGTTCACGAAATTTGGCGGCTGGGATTAATCCGAACAATTCCTCAGAGCACTCTCCGTGGTATATGCGAAAGAAAATGCAAAGAGATGCAACATCTCTTCGCAGTGCCAGCGATTCGAGCCGATCGGAAAGCACTCGGTCGTCGACGATTCGAGCCGCTCTACGCTGGATGCGGTCAAGTGGAAGGAGCTGGTACTAGGGAGCCCCAGCCCAGAGATGGGAACAGTATTCCATGTGCGGCCGAACCTGCGCCTTGTAAAGTTGCAGGCGGTGTGCCGGCAAATTTGTTCGCGTAAATATAAGAAATAATTACAGATCTCTCCACGTGATCGTCTGTACAAGATAGGGACCATTTAGCTTGGTGGGCTTTGAAATAACTAAACATAGAAAATAAACAATATTGCTGAGGAATTGGTACTGTCTTAAAGATAGTCTATATGAGTATTCAACAATTAAAGAAAATTAAAATAAAGTTACAAACTAATAAACAAAGCTAAAAATTACAAATTTTGGATAAATTTAACTGCTTACGGTCTTCCCTCATTTCTGAGAGTTTTAGGGCAAGGAAACCACTGCCACGCTGCCCGAATGCGTGTTTGCCGACTTCACATCTAGTCTTCCAAAATTTTTTTTATTTCTAAGTTATGATGGTTTCTTTTCATTTACCGTCGAGCACGCGGTAAATCAGCATTCAAAATTGTGATTAACAATTGATTGGAGCCGGCGGGGATCTAACTTGGATCTACTGACAACAACGCGCAAAAAGAATATTATTTAAAATAAATAAAATTTCAACCACGAATGCCAAAAATACACATATCGTTTTGATATTTGGTTGATATTTAAAAGGTTACAAGCAATTTTTGTTTGTTTTTGCAAAGGAAATAAAAACAGATTTTAAATATCATAATCATAAACAGCAGAGACTACTTCCAACGAGCACGATCCTAACACACCTATCTCGCCTCCTCCACATCTACATAGCTACACATACATGCTCATCGGTTGAGGATACTCTTAATTTGGCCCATTTTCAATATATCGCCAATTTGGTCGATAAACTTTCGCCTTTCCGACTCTTCCGTTCATTTCTGGAACATAAATTTGCTTTGTCACTCTTTCCTCATTCATTCTTTCTATATGATCAAACCACCGAAGCATTCCTTTCTTAATCCTGGTCACAACATCATCTTACAAACGATACTTTTCTTTTATCTCACAATTTCTCACTTACATATTATTTACTCATTAAGGAGTAATTACTGCATTTTAAATATATGGGCTTAAAATTAATTCAGATTATGGTACCTAGGAATAAAGGATTAGATTTTATATAAAAAAAACTTTACAACAAAATTAATGAATCAGCCACACGTCGCACTTTTTAAAGATCATTGCTTGTTTTGTATGTTAAACTCAGTTGGGTTTCGCCAAAATACAACCATTGTATGTCATATATATACTAAAACTCACAATTTGTTTGGCATAGGGCACAAACGCAGGATCAGAAAGCTTTCAGGGAACTAACCGCCGCTCCGTTAGTATAGCATCGAAATTAGTGAAAGCTTCACGTGTGTAGAGATTTCTAAAACAGAAAGATCGTAATATCGCAACGAAAATCTGGAAGTTTGTGATGTTTGAAACAATATTTTGTTAATGTAAATAAGAAATTATTTTTAAAATCTAAATGGTGTTAGTGCAACATGTTAATCGTATATCTTTAAGGTTTGTAGAGTAATATAGATTTCAATACATTATATTTATGGTTTGGAGAGTAAATTAATATTTAAATATAAATAGAACTTCGCAACATTAAAAGTTTTGTGGCTAAAGTATTATTAATTTTTAAAGGTATTTATATCAATTCCATATAATAAATAATAATTCTTGCATCCAGATATTTAAAAAATTATAAAACGAAAAGCATCATTCTGTTTTATTTAAATTTCTGTGTGAGATCTCCCTCATGAAATCATGAAAATAAAACAGTATTTGCAATTAAAAAAAACCAAAATGGGTATCATCTGTAATTAATTACTAATGTTTCTCAAGTTTTATTTTTTAAACAATTACATAATTTGTTTTTATAAATAAATTATTGTTTCTGTTAGATAAATTAAAAATAAAAACAGTAAATAACGCAAAACGTAGCAAAGAAACATTTTTTGATTTAAAAACTTATCATTAAGCATTTTAAAATGTGTTTAAAAAGCTTATCAATTCTTTATAATTATAAAATTATAATATTTATTTATTTTATTTATCACTTACAACATCTATAAAAAACTAATTACAACGGCGAAAAAAGCTTAAACATTGATTTTCTCTCCCTTATCGGAAGTTTGATTGATGTGTATTGTAGGGATATGAAAGAGTAAATGGTTGATCTTTTTTTACTTATTAGTCAGTGCTTGACCACAATCTCACCTGGTGGTAAGTGTACAACCACACAAAATAATAAAAACCCGCCTACCAAGCGTGGCAACTATGGCAAAGTAAAGCAGTGGACTACTTTTATAAACATGTACACATGTAACAATTGCGTTATTTAAAATGTATTATACTAGTTCTGCATGAACGCATAAAGGAAATATTTATCACAAAGGCTCAAAACTTTTAAATACATTAAAAATAACTTATATCTCAAAATAAAATTAATTTTAATAAATCAAACTCAATGAACAGTGAAATTTAAGTTATTTTAACAAAATTATTAAGTTTAGTTACTTTAAATTAAGCCCGAAATAAATAAACGGATAAGGGGATGATAATTTCCTTCTATTTAAAAAATATTGATCACAAGCTTGTAAATAACGACAATGTGAAAACAAAAACGATAGTAGACGCACTTATGTTTTTACTTATGGCTCTTAAAATTGTCAAACCCTCTACAGACTACAAGAGTAGGTTCTTCTACCGACTTATAGTTTTTTGTACGTATCCTCATATCATACGTGATATCTTCGTCAATTTTAAACTGATCGTGATGATTTTTATTTAATAGGTGGAAAGGAAATTAAGACAAAAATGCTCCGCAGAAAATTTTCATGGGAAGAAAATATGATGTTTTAATGTTACTGCTTACGCGACAATCTAGTTGTGCCCTTGAGATTCTAAGTCCTCACAAAAATGATTTTACTTAACTTGATTATAATGTCTGTCGTTTCGGGTGCTTTACAGCACCCATGGTCACGGAAGGACTGAAGAACGAGCTTATAGTATCTTGAAGTTTTGCAGCGGTAAGCTTGGGTTTGGATTTAGTTTTATTAATTATATGATCGCAAGCAGATGGCAGCACCTATTAATCTTCTCTATTAAAATTAGGATGTTTCTTTAATTTCAATAGCCACGCGTATCATACTTGGTAGGAATCGGTGTTCTTTTTCGAGGATTTGTGGATTATCAAATGTGATGTAATGATGAGGACGATCTTGAACATGTTTATAGACTGCAGACTTCCTGAAGCGTTGGTTTTGCGCGTTAGCTATATATTCTTACAGGCGGGTTTTTATAAACCTTTTTGTTTGTCCTGTGTTAGAGACCACATTTACAGTCTTGTTTATATACTCCTGCTTCTTGTACAGGAATACTACACTTGATGCATGGTAAAAATTGACTAATCTTCTTCAGCGGCTTGTAGTATGTTTTAATGGAAGCTCGCTTCAAGATGTAGCCAACCTTGTCTGTGACTCCTCTGATATACGGTAGTATAGCAGGCACACTCTTGACTGTGGCCGGCTCCACTCGATCTCTTTGAAGTAGGCGCGGGTCCCGAGGCTAGTTGCCCATGTGACCATGGGTGCTGTGAAGCACACAAACAGTCAGGAATTAAGAACAAGTTAATTGAACGGGATAAAATCCGTATAAATAGTTTTATTTAATCTACCCAAAAATATCAGAAAAATCAAAATTAAAAAAAGGAAAATCCAACTTCACATAAATATAAGAAATTCATTAATTTTAATACAACATTTTAATACATAACAGCTTCTGAAGCTGGGGCTTTAGTTATTTTATACACTCTGTCTTAGCACCGACTTCAAAAGCTATTATGTGGAAATTATTTTATTCTATATTATTTATTTGAAGTCATTTTTAACTCGAAATACAAGAAATAAAAAAACACCCATTGGATATTTGACATTTTTTATTTAAGCTATGATTTTGATCCTGCGTTTAATATGAAGAGAACAAACACATTTAGTTAAATAACCATAGATCTTGTGCTCATCATCATCATTGCAGCCATTCACAAGTCCAATGCTGAACATTGGCTCCCCCAAGGAAGACCACAAAGCACGGTCTTGAGCCACCTGTATCCATCGAATTCCTGCATGTCTTACCAGGTCATAACTCTGTCTAAAGTTAAATCTTATATAGAGTTTGTCCAATTGTACATACAAAGCTATCATTTCCAATATTAAAAGTTATAAAATATTTTACAAAAAAAAAACACAAACATTCTTTGTATATTTGTAAATTGCCGCCCTGGTTATTTTCTTTATGCTCATTAATGCACCATGTTGGTTTCATAGTCAAAATATAATGGTAGGCTTAAATTTATATATTTCAATTTTTTTTTTTATATATATATATATATATATATATATACGAAATATAACTTAAATGTTATTTTTTCAGGGTTCCTTACATCATTGGAGTGGTAAAAAAATGAATATCAGTATCATTTATTTCCTCTTATGTGTAGTTTTATTAGGTAAGATGCATCCTACAACATTTATGAAAAATGTAATAATTTTTCTATATAATAATTAACAACTCGGTTTTAGGGAGAGGAGATGACTACTGGAAAAACCGAAAAAGAGAGAAAATTGAGCATGATAATGGAATATTCAAGAAAAGAGTAGGTTAGTATTTGTTAACATGTATACAAACATTACTTCTAAATAAAGTTTTCCCTCAAAAAATAAATAAACGTTATTAAAATAATTAAACATTTTCAGCACTGGAAAGGGATGAGAAAGCATTAGAACATTATTTTAACTCGGTCCCTCAGATATATCATCATAATTACGTACATCCTAAATTAATGAAATTTACAAAAGATAATCGAGAAGTATTAAGGAATACTAAGTCAGAACCGTATGAGTCATCTTTAACGATTAATGATAATATTCACTTTAGTAGTTCCAAGAACATGTCACATAAACCTAATTCACTTGGTTTCCTCAAATTTCAATATAAACACAGTTCAAAATACAAGAAAGTTACGGATACAACTTTGAAATGGCCCTCGTTTGAAGATTTGTTGTTGTCGGTTGGGGTTGAATATGACTGGAAAAGTGATCGCTGGATAAAAATGAAACAAAAGCTTACAAAATCTCCAGACAAAACGATTAAAACCTCAAACTTTAATCAAGATGTCGGTCAGAAACATGAATTTAAATACAGAACTGTAAGAATTAACGGAAGCAAAAGCAGGAAAAATATCATAATTGCAGTAACAGCAGTAAGATAGGATTGTAATATATTATACATACTATTTTAGCATAAATTTAGTTAATGTTATGTAAAAATGTTTAGCAAACTTTGAATTTGTATAACTTATAGTTAATGCACTATTTGTAAATAAACATAAATATTAAAAAGATTTGGGACCAAATTTAATTAAAAACAGTCCAAGACGTTTTTTTGTTTTTATTCAAATCAATAACTAGTAACGATAAAATTAAAAAAAAAATGTTTTAACTATATTTTGTGAATTGGAATTGGTAAAGAAAAAAGTAAAGTAACAGTCTAAATATTAATATGAAGCACTGAACATGCCTCATTTAAATTCTTGAAAGGTATTTATAATAAATAGCAGATGATATTATGTTAATTTAAAATTTGCTCAAAACATTGTTAATTTTTCAGAAGACAGTTTCCTCTGATTAAAATCGCCACCACGGTTCATGGTGAATCAGCTCCCAAAATTGTGCATCATGATTATTGTAGTGTTACCTAGAAATCTTTCATAAAGCGGTTTGATTTTGTATTATGATTTTTTGAAAAATAAAATTTTCATATTTCATGTCTCTGTATGCTTAGTACGTTCACCATCTTCATATATACATTTATTGATTCGGTAAGTATTGAAATTACTCATTGAAATTCAATGAGCCTCTCCTTTTAACATTTTATTCTAGTTTATGTGTTACATAAAAATAAAAATAAAAATGAAAATATATAGTCACCATTGCTACATTTACGTATATATTAGATATTTCTTTAAATTTCTAATGAATTTAATTTTAAATAACATTGCCCTATGTAAATATATCAAATAGAACCAGCTAATGTCAAACTTCTCTGAATATAGCAGTATGTGTAAACAAATCACCTTAGCAATATTATGTTATGCCACTGACAAAAATATTTCATAGATTTTTCGGAGATATTCCAGTATTTTGAATTTATTAGAGATAAATGAATCCACATTTTAAATAGTATAACTAAAGAGAGTTGCTTTGAATGGAACAGAAATATCATATCTAAAGTGTCAATTTTCAAAAATGTTTTTTTTTCTTCTGTTTTATAGAAATCGATTTTTCAGTGCATTTGTATTAATAATAAAAAATAATTTTTTTTCTAAAATTATTTCAAGTTTAATTTGTTTTTTTGTTCATTCATATTGCCATTCATAAATCTATTATGAAGATGACGTTACAAAATAGGACCAGACTAGAACCATTGTTATTTTAATTGTGTACTTAACACATTGAAGTAATATGTACTAGAACTAGAACGTACTAGAACAGCTATCTCAAACAAAAAATGTGCGCTACTCTGTGTTCGCGCGGTTGGTTTTTTATCATAGAATAAACATAGGTAGAATGATCCGTAGGTAATAGTAGATTATGTTGTTAAATAGGTAAATTATATCGCAAACAATATTTAAATTTTGTCATTTATTTTGTATATTATATTTGCTTATTTAATATAATATTACATAATATTATATCATAATTATATTTTAATGATATTTTTATCTGAATATTTTAAAAGGTATCTATGTCAAATATAAAAAACACACTAAATGTGTGTTTAACAAAACTTATTAACATAACATTTAAATTACAAATATATTTATTGGCATTACTGGGCACGCGAGAGTTAAAAATGGACAAATTTATTTCACTTTGGCTTTGATGTGGAATTCTAAAAATAAAATAAAAAATAATAAGCAGATATAAACATGAAATATTTAGCCTAATTATAATAACTTATATATGTTTCTACAAAAAAATGTGTACAATAATATATTCGTCCTATACTTAAGTACCCACAGAAATGTCGCATCTGAACATATTAATTTCATAATCTATATTTCATGACACGAGATGGCGTCTTAGGAATAACTTGTTTTATTATTTGATTAAGTATCTTATTAACCGCTGAAAAGTAATTACTTGGTTTTTACTGAAATTTCTTGAATTATTTGTGCAATATCTAAGTACACACGACGGCATATTTTTATCAAGAGATTTATTTTAAATCAACACAACACGTGACGACTCTACAAGCGTCTAGCGAGTGACTGATTAAAGTGCGGTGTATGCACCGCAATTGGGTGGAACAGAGTAGCTGGATGCAGTGTCGCCTCTAGTACGTAGTACGTAATAGCTCAATGACTTAACATTATAATGTGCTAAATTAAATGCATAATCATAATTTCTTAGGCATCTTGAATTAGGGTTTTCATAGATTATAATACTACTACTATTTCTTATTATGAAATAGTAGAATTTAGTAGATAATGTGTAATCATTACTCATCATAAATCCTAATATATATATAAATTACGTATCACGTTGTTTGTCCGCGATGGACTACTAAACTACTTAACCGATTTTAATTAAATTTGCACACCGTGTTAAGTTTGGTCCAACTTGAGAGACAGGATAGTTTTTGCACATGAGTGACCCAATTTTATTAATTTTTTTTGCGAATTTAAGTATTTTGAATAGGACATGATAAAGGAGTCGTCGAAAATGGCAGAACATTTTTTTTATATATATATATATATATATATATATATATATATACATCTTTATCACCGTGTGCCGTTTGGTACACAAAGGCTGTCTTTCACGTGTTCGGGACTAGGCTACGGTTAGGGAGTAGAAGTACGGAAAAGACGCGTTAAAACCGGTGCCAACACCAGAGCACACGTTTTCAACACAATAGGAGGGACGCCATCAGGCCCCCTGAACTTGTTGACGTCCAGGGGGAAGAGTACTCTACGCACCCAGGTTACAGTACCATGCTGGGTAAACAGCACCTCCCACATGGAGCATTTACACCGCGGGATGTTTGGCGGTATGTTCCTCGGCATCAAGAGTCGAGCTGGACGCAAAGAGAAAGCTCAGCAGATCGACTTCGTCCTTTACGGCATGAGCCAGTGAATCGTCCTCCCTATGCAGAGATGGAAGAGACGGATGACAGAAGTCCTAACTGTAATGGCACAGTAAGTCGAGTTAGAGACGACTAGAGACTTAAGAGCCCCAGAGAGTAAAAAACTGTGCATCTCAGTAAACAGCCATTGTTGAAATGGTGTCGTTGCGGTGATGGCACGGCGGAATTTTGCGATCCATTAGAATACCTGGTGGACCATCCTTCAATCTTTTCAATCGTGCAATGAAATCGCATCTTTTAATTATACGATCGATAGCCAATTAAGACAACACCTAAGGATGTGTGTTATTTTACTTTTCGCTTAGCGTAATCAGCACGCAGATCGCGTCTGAAAAATAAATTACTATGATACTTGTAGAAAAATCGATCCACTCAAACAGACCTGATATGACTATATACAATAAACAAAATAAAAAATAAATAGTAACAATATTGTAGTTTGTAAGTAGATACATGTATGTTAACGTCAGAAATGAAATAGAACGTATGTTGAATCTCAAAACAGGGCTAAAATCTTTAATTAAGTGAGAAAATATCATTGCACCAGTGAATCAAAAAACTTGACATAGTGTGCAGACGACAGCACGTATGTGGAGAGGTATCAACTGAATGCTCCGGCTAGTTGGGATCATATCCAGTAAAATAGAGAATCTATGGTTGAGCGTGCGAATCTCTCTCTGCGGGCATTATCCTAATAGAGCGACGCTAATAGTGTGAGATGTACACAATCGTGTCTTTTCATCACTAAAAATGCCTGTTTACACTGGCTCCTACTTTTCAGAATCTATCGTCGGATTACATTAAACATTGGTTGTGGTTGAGATTTCTCTCAATTATGGGCAGTTCAATGAGTCCAGGGCCAGAACAGCCGCAAGGAAATTTCACGCTTGGGCAGCTTCTCATTATATAAAGCGCAACTCGGGCCATACATGAAGTACTTGGCCTGGTGCTGCGAAATGCCCCCAGCAGTAATGAACTTAATAGAGAGACGTGCTACGAGGCTTATTGTTAACCTTGACTAAGTTGAAATCAATCTTATCAGCCTTGAGTGCTGGCGCAGAGAATGATATATTTTAGAGAGTGCGCATAGTGTTTCGTAAAGCGTACAGCAAATAAGTGGAATAGCATATGGGTGACAAGCGAGCGCACAGTCCATCTGAGATGTGCAAAATAGGTTATAAAATGTATTTAAATGCAAAATGCAATTAGGTTTTGTATTTTATTGTTTCAAATACAAAATACAAAATATTTTTTAATTTTATATTTCAAATACTAAATGCAAATTACGTATTTACAAAATGCTTTATGAAAATAAAATACTTTTAGTTTTAAACTATCGTTCTTTTGTTAAAAAGGTTATTTATTTCAGCCAGCTAATAGGCTGGTAAATTTACTTTGATAACTTACTTAAATTAAATTTACTTAACAGATTTTAATAAAATAATTTGCAATGAAATACAATACACAAAATCAAATACACTCTCGCTTTCTCCTGCGTGAGTCTTATGGTCATGCCACCAGATATTATATTTCAGGAATAACATCTTTACTGTAGTGTATTTATTTATTGATTGCAGAATGACATCATTATCCTTCAAATATTGCAATGATTCCAGGTCAATAGTGGTGTTTGCATTTGCATTATCACTAGCTAGCTAGGAATCTGAATCATCATAGAACATGTAGTAGCATGCTTAAAGCATACTCATAAATAAGCATACACCAAGCAAACTTTAGACAGATGTGCTATCAGTACAGAACTCGATAATATAATCATATTGAAAATAATTATAAGCAAACCTGTTCAGACGCGCTCGGAGCACGCCCGCGCTTCTGGTAGCATGCTCGAAAATCAAACGTGGGTTAATTGGCACGCTCAAAATAAGCATGATCGTTATTAGCAATGAGTGTACACACGTGCTAATAATGAGCACTTGCTCAATAAAAGCATGCTTTTGTGCTAGTAATGAGCACGTCTGTCCGTACCTTTAGGCAACCTAACCTAAGTGGTATAGAGTACAGTAATATATATAGAACTAAGTGGCCTGGACAGATTATCAC